ATAACGATTATATTATTTAATAATAGTAGTTTACTTTTATTTTTATTAACTTATTTTTCACTACTATTTAAATAAATATAAAAAAATACGCAATTCCTACCACAATATAGCATAAAACTATGTTTAGTAATTAAGTATTTATTTAATCCATACAAGTATGTATCAAAATTTAGAAATATCACTCTAATGAATCTTATATGAGCACAAAGAACCAACGTTTCAATTATACATTAGATAATTATAATGTATTCAAACAAACTTTACATGAAATTATATAGTGTTTACACTTATATTAAAAATGTTGTCAAATTTTATCTTATATTAATTATACTAATATCTTTTTGAAGGGCTTAATTATAATAATATGGTATAAATATTTTTTTTAAACTAATTGATATGTTTTGTCATCATAAATGTTTTACACAATCAATAAATCAAAACTATTTATTAGTAATTAAAGTCAAACACTTATAAAAATTTAATGATAATAGTTAACTAGTATTAGTATGTTTACACTTTTAGCCCATATGAATTAAATTCTTTTATTTAATGACTAATGAGTACTTTCATAAATATATTTATAGACAAACAGATTTGATTTTTTTCTTCTTTTGCAATCATTATTTTTCATACTTTAATTTATAAATAATATTTATATTAAGATATTTTTATTATTATAAATTATTAGTCATATTTAATACATTATGAGGTCATCATCACCTCCACTTCCTTTCTTAAATTTTGAAATTTTATTTATTGATATAATATTCTGAAATTGATAGTACTACGATTTTTTGAATTTAATACATCTATAATATATAATAGTAATGCAAAAAACTTTCTAACCTAATTTAATTTTGTAAGAAATTACATAATTTTTTTCTAAAAATACAAATGTATTAAATATTACTAATAATTTAAAAATAATAAAAATTTTATTTATATAAATTTTATTTATATATTAAAATATGAAAAATATATTAATTTAGTAATAGAACAAATTGCTTATTGATCAAGAGATCCTCTATTCAATAAATATGGACGTTATTTTTCTAATGAGTTTTCACTCTAATAAAATAATTGTAAAAAGTGGTGTATTATTAAATAATATATTTAATTGAATGAGATGATTGATATCCAACTAAATTTAAGTACCAAAATATTAACGGTATTGTTCACCATTATGCGTAAATAATTTACCATATTAATTCATCACCACATCTATGATTAATTGATTGATCTTTTATAGTGTTAATATATTTTAATAGTAAAAAATTAAGAAAAAAATATAATATAAAATAATTTTATAATATTAATTAATCATAATTATATATCAATTAAAATATATTTTTATTTTTAAAACAATTTAATAATATAATAAATTATTAATTTTTTATTAGATGAGAATGTATTTTACAATGTCCGTGTATGTGAATTAAATCCAAAAACTAATCTTAATTTCTTTTTGGGTATTTTTCAAGTAAAAGTAAGCAGCCAATGAAATTTAACGGTACAGTCAAAGAGGAACAACGGGAATGAACAATACAGCGCTGCACGCACCTGGCGCACATTAGTAGAAATATTTCACTGTTAAAAGTAAAAGACAGCTAATATGATGCGTCCGTGGCCATTTATAAACAATGAACCTCGCATTTCACATGCATTATAAAATGCGCACCCCTTTCTTTCATTTTCTGTTATAATAACCGATAACCGTTCATTTTTCTTTCTCTGCCATCTCGGCAAGAGAGAGAAACTTGAACCCGGTAATTCATCGCCGCTTACTCCACCGTCGTCACCATCGTAACTTGTTTTCTCCGGCGAGCTTTATCTGAACCGGTTTATGATGGATCTGTATTTGCTCGGTTGGATTTTAAGTTCCGTTTTGAGTTTGTTTGCGTTCTACAGTTTGGTTTTCTCAGGGAAGAGAAACTCCGCTAAGCCGGTGAAGCCGACTGCGGAAAGCGTGACGACTGATGCCGGAGAAATTATATCGGAGAAGCTTAACCGTGACGCTGATGTTATTGTTGTTGGAGCCGGTATCGCTGGCGCGGCTTTGGCTCACACTCTCGGGAAGGTAATTGTAATTTGATTGATGATTTTGTTTTGCAATTGAATTGAATATGGCGTTGTTTTTATATGGTTGTGAATTTTGAATTGACGTGAAACCTTTTCTGTCGGTGGAGAAAGTACAATATACATCTGTAGACACGGTTATAAACAATTTTTTTTTTTTTAATACATTTATCTTCTTCGTATCATATACATTGACAGTTAAATGTATCAAAAAAAAAAAAAAGTAAAAATGATTTATAATAGTGTCCGAGTGTAGCAAAAAGGGAAATGAATAGCTATTCTTGTTTAGTGTTTTTTTTATGTGGAAATTTTGAAACTGTTTGAGATGAAAAGCGTTATGACTTATGAAGGAGTTGTTTTTGTTTTACCAAAAAAAAAATAAAACGAGTAATATTTTTGTCTCTATCTACCTGTTTTGAGTGAAAATGACAATGGTATGATATAATTGGAATTTGGCAGTGATCACGTACTTGTTGTGCAATTGAACATTTGGAGTCATGTTTTGACTAAAATTCCAATTCAGCAGATTTCTATGTAGCACTAACACTTCTGACAATAAACCGAAACTTACACCGACACTTATTATTATGTTTAAATTATTTATTTTTTCTAATTATTACTGGTGTCTACGTGTCCGTGTCTGTTTCATAGGCATATTTTTATTATATACACTTGACTGACTAATCAATTAACAAGCATTACGTATCTCACTTGTTGGTTGTCATAAACTTTTTAGCTGGTGGATCTTCTATTTTGCCTACTGTTTGTGTTGTTGATCAATTAGATTCATTTAAGGCCTTGTTTAGATTAATAATTTACTTTACAGCTTATAGCATAAGGGCTTAACATATAAGAGCTTATGGATAAACTAGTTCTACACGAGACAAAATCAAATCAAATTGTTTTCGTATAAATTATAAGATGTTTTCATAAGTTCTCTTGAAGAACTTATGGACGTAAGCTGAAAACAACTTATGAAATTCCAAATAGTCTCGCTAGTGCTTATGCTAGAAGATGTGCTCAAATAAGCCTATCCAAATAGGCCATAAGTCTTACGTGTTGTGTTAACCAATTTGGGTTGAGTAATGTTTTCCTTCTAAAAATACATATGATATTGATTGTATATATTACTGTGCCATATAGGATGGACGAAGAGTGCATGTCATTGAAAGAGATCTGAGTGAACCTGACAGAATTGTTGGAGAGTTGCTCCAACCTGGAGGCTATCTCAAATTAGTTGAATTGGGGCTTGAAGGTAGTGTAAATTATTGAACTTTTAGGTTGTGGCTGATCATGAGTGCTGGAAGTATTCAGGGAAATTTTGTTTTGATCTTCCTGCTGAATATCTTTCTTGTGTTTAACTGCTGAATGATCTTTCTTGTGTTTTACTGTAGATTGTGTGGACAAGATTGATGCTCAGAAAGTGTTTGGTTATGCTCTTTTCAAGGATGGGAAACATACTCGTCTCTCTTATCCCTTGGAAAAGTTTCACTCAGATGTCTCTGGCAGAAGTTTTCACAATGGACGTTTTATTCAGAGGATGCGAGAAAAAGCTGCCTCCCTTCCCAAGTATTTATTTATTCCTTTGGATGTATAATATATGCTTCTGCTGTGTATTCTTCCTTTAATAGCTTCTGTTGCCTGTGATTCTTTACTACACTTGGGACTTAATTTGTGTACTACAGTAAAATTTAACCTCTCATAGATGCCCTTGGGTTGATTTGGTTGATATTTATGTTACCTGAACCAAATTAGTTATGTTGCAAGTTTTTCTACTATTAGTTTGTGTCTTGGTCATATCATCCTAAGGACGGCCAATTGATATAAACTCTCATAATACGATCAGAAATCATTTTTGAGAATTTTCAATGTACTTTTATATACTTCAATTGATCTGAAGATATATTTCTGTTAGCTCATATTTAAATGGTGTTTTTCCTTTTTCAATATGTGTAGTGTAAATTTGGAGCAAGGAACAGTCACTTCTCTACTTGAAGAGAAGGGGACAATCAAAGGTGTGCAATACAAGAATAAAGATGGTCAGCAATTGATAGCTTATGCTCCTCTTACCATTGTTTGTGATGGCTGTTTTTCAAACTTGCGCCGTTCTCTTTGCAACCCTAAGGTGAGAATTCCTTTCAGCATAATTCTGTGAAGGCTTTCTACAGTCATATTGTCTACTTCTTTCTATAAAATAAACAACGATGATGACCAAAAAACATTTGCTGTAATTCATTTAGAGTTGTTTCTTTGGCTTACAATAACAGCGTTTTCTTACTACTGAAGGTTCTCAGTCATGCATAAAAGTCTGTAGAAATCTGGATGAATATTCTATATTACTTTATCTGCAGGTAGACAACCCCTCTTGTTTTGTTGGCTTGATTTTAGAGAACTGTGAACTTCCATGTGCCAATCATGGCCACGTCATACTAGGAGATCCTTCGCCAATTCTTTTCTATCCTATAAGTAGTACAGAGGTTCGTTGTCTGGTTGATGTACCTGGTCAGAAGGTTCCCTCTATTTCAAATGGTGATATGACAAAGTATCTAAAGACCACGGTTGCTCCTCAGGTATCAATTATTCTCAAAGTTCTATAAATCCCTTTTAAGCCTTAGCATGTGTTAGGTTACCTTTTTAGTTCAAATAAAATTTTGTTAACCATAAGTTGCAAATGATTGCAGGTCCCCCCTGAGCTTTATGATGCATTCATAGCCGCAGTGGACAAGGGCAACATAAGGACAATGCCTAACAGAAGTATGCCAGCAGATCCCCGTCCTACTCCTGGCGCTGTACTGATGGGAGATGCATTCAACATGCGTCATCCTCTAACAGGGGGCGGAATGACAGTAGCATTGTCTGATATTGTGGTGCTGAGAAATCTTCTCAAGCCTTTGCGTGACCTGAATGATGCACCCACACTTTGCAAATACCTTGAATCCTTCTATACCCTGCGTAAGGTAATGTTGAACACATTTTTTTGGTTTTGATCAAAATTCTTACATAAATAAGCAGTCACAAAGCTATCTAATAAGATGGGGAGTAGAATGCCTTTTATTGCACCAATCTTGACTTCACTCAATGCTTTTAAAGCTTAAAAGTTAAAACACTGATGCTAGTCACTCAATTTGCAGCCTGTGGCATCCACCATAAATACATTGGCAGGTGCCCTTTACAAGGTTTTTTGTGCATCCCCTGATCAAGCAAGGAAGGAAATGCGCCAAGCTTGCTTTGATTATCTGAGCCTTGGAGGCCTATTCTCAGAAGGACCGATCTCTTTACTTTCAGGATTAAACCCTCGTCCCTTAAGCTTGGTTCTCCATTTCTTTGCTGTCGCAGTATTTGGTGTAGGCCGTTTACTATTACCATTTCCTTCACCTAAGCGGGTGTGGCTCGGAGCTCGATTACTCTCTGTAAGTATAAACCTATTGTTTTTATCAGTTTTTTGTGTTTGAATAAATAGCATACAAACTAACTCTTCAAAAACCAAATTTATCTATTCCTAGGGTGCATCTGGAATCATTTTTCCCATAATTAAGGCTGAAGGAATTCGCCAAATGTTTTTCCCTGCCACTGTTCCAGCTTATTACAGAACTCCTCCGGTTTCACAAGAGTGAGTATCAAAAAATGCATTTCCAAAAACAAAGTTGCTCTCAAGATGAACTAGCTTTATCATCCGTACTTGAGAAATTGAGCGAAGGTCAATGCTGATAGATTGTATACTTTATGGCCTAGTGTGTATTTTTTGTAGTTTGTAATTGGTACGATCTCAAAAGTTCAATTATGTCTTTTCTACTTTCTTTTTGCTACTTTAGAAAATTGAATGGTCCGATTTCGAAACAAACCGCCCTTCATTATAACACTGCGGCACACCATCATTGCCATAACTAACTATTCATGAAGAACCACCATCATTGCCATAGCTTAGATAATAAGGACTCAACCAGAAATACTCACTAATAACAGCAACTATAGACATAGTACATACTCCAAAAGATTACTTCAAACTAATGGTAGGTTGTTTTTTCATAGAATAAAAAGATGTTCAAAAGCAAGAGGTAGTACCATTAATAAGTTAATGCAGGAACCTTGCATCATATCGTTACGTTCATCACTGAGTGTTCTATTCTACTAAATCTGTCTTAATCTTCCTCATCCCAAAGGGTCAAGGTTCTTTATTTGTTAAGATGGATTCATCACTCATCATCCATTGAAGTCCACTTCCACGCTGAGTATTCAGTATTGTCAATATAATTGTTCTTGCTTACCGAAGTCATTAGAAAAGCAGAAAAAAAATCAATAGCATTTTCTTTTTATCTCATGTATAATTTTTTTAAAACCATGATGATTTCAGCCATGACGAGTTTTGGAAAACACCTTTTTAGTTCTCATAGAAGATAAAGAAAACATACAAAAACAGTTCGTTAATTATTTTTAGACAAGCCTTGCTCAAACTATTGGTGACAATGATATTAACTCAGAAATTTAAAGCCATAATAATTTCAGCCATGACGAGTTTTGGAAAAACATCTTTTCAGTTCTCATAGAAGATAAAGAAAACATACAAAAACAGTTCGTTAATTATTTTTAGACAAGCATTGCTCAAACTATTGGTGACAATGATATTAACTCAGAAATTTAAAGCCATAATAATTTCAGCCATGACGAGTTTTGGAAAAACATCTTTTCAGTTCTCATAGAAGATAAAGAAAACATACAAAAACAGTTTGTTAATTATTTTTAGACAAGCCTTGCTCAAACTATTGGTGATAATGATATTAACTTAGAAATGCTAAAACTTTCCTTTACTCTACATCAGTTCCTCTGTTTGTTTTGCATCTTTTTCTTAGCACATAAAAATATTCCATTGAATATGCACCTCAAACTCGTGATCAATGTCAATTAATTTTATATTAATTTGATTTAATTAAATCTTAGACCCACATTTGTGCATGCTAGTTTAATTGATGGCAGCCATTTGTTTTTTTTGTTTACATGAGGGGGCTAAGCCCCGAGAAAGAAGCTAACATGGAAAGAAACTGAGGAATTTATTTATTGGGGAAATGTGGCATTTTTTAATTTGCATTGTACATTTTAAATTGAAGTTGTATCAGTTCTGCAATATAGATAAGTGAATGAGTATCCTCATCTTACAACTAGCTTTTAAATTTGAAATTTAAACTCATTTAACGTAATAAGTCGGATTAATGATGATAATGCGAGAATTAAGCTGCATGATAGTTGTTCTGGACTGGGTCCGACAGGCCCAATAGCATTGCTAAGGCCCAATCCAAATGGACTTGCTGAGGACCACGCCGATCAAAGGGTCAAAGTCGTGCCCGACGTACTCCCTGAGGTCACGTGCTCGACCTCTACATCTCCAGCTCGACATCCTGCTGTCCAGCTCGACATCACCTCGAGCACCCCCAACTAGGGCAGACTCAATCCACTGCACTCCCAACGAGACTCCGAAAAGACCGCGTCTCCGTCCGCCCGCACTTCACGCAGAACATCCAGGAAGGGGACCACGTGCGGGTCCCCACTACGCACGTAGAACCTGGCAGTTCCCCCATTGGGCCAAACCTGCCCGGCCCAACGGAGGAACCTTGGCCCAGCGTTGGGGGCTATAAATACCCTTTGTTTCCAGAGGGTCAGGTATTCATCATTCTACCCATACACTTGCTATTACCTGCTCGTGCTTCTACTTACTTCAGCATCGGAGTGTCTTGCAGGTACCCCCCCCCCTACCTCGTTCAAAAAGCTTTCAGCTCGGAGCCAGCCGTGATGGTCTATTTCTGATCAGGTCAGATCAGTGGCGCCGTCTGTGGGAAACTAGCTTCCCCGTCTTACAAACAACTCAAGACCAAAGCTCAATTCAACTACCTGTCATGGCTGATCCAGCTCGCGATGAGCAGAACGTCCGTGTCGCCGACACCAATAACGGCACGGCGGACAAAAACGGACATCTCGACAACGTCGGCAATCCAGGCCATAACACCGCTCCTGCAACAACCGTCCTCGGAACTTCCTCGCACAGGGACGGAGCCATAGCATCATCCTCCTCGCTCCCACCACCACTCGAGGACGATCCGACGGCCCTCGCCCACTACAGAGTCGTCCGGTTTCAGGAAGTCCCCGTCTCCCCCGGGGCGGATGCCACCACACAAGCGTTGTTCGCAGCAATTAACCAAACGAACTATCTCATCTTCGCCTAAGGAGAGAGATTAAAGGCGCTTGAAGACGAGCGAAGACCCTCGAGGAGGCATCGGAGACCACATACTCCCCCTCCTCGGGTGACTGAAGTCCGACACCCTTCTCCCCCGCGGAGACACTACAGGGAAAACTCCAGAAGCCCTTCTCCCCGGCCAAAGCAGAGGCGACCATATTTGGAGAGAGATCCCATCATCCCCGCCGGAGAACCTAGTCGCGACCCGGCGAGGCACGACAAGAGACACGCCGGGGACGGGCGTGTAACATTCAACCAGCGAGCATCACGCTCGAGGGAGACTCAGCACGACCACCGTGCCAGACAATACTACAGGTCCCCATCTCTGTCTCCGGAGAGGAGCGACGAGGACGACCCCCGCGGTCCCCTGTCGCAGGCCATCATGGATGCACCCATCCCCCCGGGCATGGAGAAGCCCCCACATCTGAAGGAGTATGACGGAGTTGCGGACCCGGTCGACCACATTGACGGGTTCGAGGCCATGCTCCACTATCATAATGTCGGGGGGCCCATCAAGTGCCGTCTTTTCCCCACGACTCTCAGAAGGCGGCCATGGACTGGTACAAAGGACTCGCCCCGGGTTCAATCACCTCGTGGCGGAACCTGAAGAACCAGTTCATCAGTTCCTTCACCGCTTCTCGGCGCCATCCAAAGACCGAGGTGGCGCTCGAGGCCATCATCCAAAGATAGGATGAGACCTTGAGGGAGTTCATCAACCGCTTCAACCGAGAAGCGATACAGGTCCCCTGCACGGACCACATGAAGAGATATCTGCTGGAGAGGGGGCTCCTCCCCGGCACAGAATTCAGAAAAGCCGTGGGAATCGAGCCGCCCAGGTCTTTCGACGCCCTCCTCGATAAAGCTCGAGCATATATGGATTACGAGGAGAGGGAAGCTGCCAACAGGGCCCGAGACTCCAGGACTCGGGGTCCCAACAACAGCAGCAGCTCACGCCAAGAGGCTCCTCCCCGACGTACCGGGGAGAAAAGGAAAGAAGACCGACCCCGGGAAGTCCGGGAACAAAGGGGCCCCTCGGGCCGTTTCACCGAGTACACTCCGCTCACAGCTTCCCGCGAGCGTATTCTGGCGGAGTGTGCCAGTACAGACTTCAAGGACGGCGGCGTCAAGCGTCCCCGACCTGCTCCCGCCAAGCCAGGGGCGGACAAAAATAAATACTGTCAATACCATAGGAGTCATGGTCATCTGACAGAGGACTGCGTCCACCTCAAGGACGCCATTGAAACCCTCATCAAGGGAGGGAGGCTCGCGCAATACAGGCGAAACGACGCTCCTCGTCGTGACGCCCATGAAGCCAAGGAGCCAGAAGAAGACGCCCGACCATCAGACGACTCGGTGCCTATCCAGACCGCCTTCTCGGTAACCAGGCCCGAGGATTTCGACATTCCCGAGCACCTGCAGGAGCCGCTGACAACGCACAGCAGGTGGTAATACTTTCCCTCCGCCATGGTCATCAACGGGGGCGGATTCAACGACCTCACCATCAATTCAGCTAAGAGGAAGTTTGACGAGCTGGTCGACGCGGCTCCCCCGCAAACAGTAACGTTCGAAAGGGTGAAGGGCAGGTCAGAGCCCATCACCTTCTACCTAGAAGAGCTCCCCGGTGGAGCCCCAAACGCGGTCATCCCCTTACTGATAAGGGCAAGAATGGCTAATTTCGACGTGCATCGCATCCTGATCGACGAGGGGAGTTCCGTCGACGTGATGTACAGCCAGCTGTTTCGAACCTTACAGCTGGACGACTCACATCTCTCTCCGTATGTGGGTTCGGATCTACAAGGATTCAACGGCTCGACTTCCAAACCTTGGGGTTATGTCGAGCTCCTGCTTACGTTCGGCGAAGGAACGACTACGAGACAAGTTAAAGTCCGGTTCCTCATCATTGACTGCCAGTCTCTATACAATTGCATCTTGGGGAGACCGACACTGGCAGAGCTAACAGCGGTGCCCTCGACCGTCCATCTGAAGATGAAGTTCTACACCAGAAGGGCACGGGTAGCCACCATCCAAGGAGACCTAGCCGCTGCCCGTAGGTGCTTCAACGCTGCTTCTAAGGGACGGGATACCGTCGACATAGGGACCAGACCCGCTAAAAGGACAAAACAGGAGCCCGACAGGAAAGCATCCCCCGAGGAAGAAGTCCAGAAAGCTCCACCAAAGGTCGACTCCATAGCCCTGGACACCCGCTTCGATCAGGACGAGCCATCCAGCAGCGAGTAAATCCCACTCCGACCAATACCGGACGGGGATTTTGAGCTCGTTCCCCTCGGCACAGAGCCGACCAAGGGAGTGAAGATTGGCAAAGACCTCCCCGACTTGGCCAGGAAGCAAATCAAGGCCTGTCTGCGCGAGAATGCTGATCTCTTCGCCTGG